TAAAATGGGTGACTCAGGTAGTGTTGCCCTAGACAGACAGGATTTCGCAGCTGTAGAAACCACGAGTCTTGGTTACAGTCAAACATGGGACTATTTTGGACAAAAAATCAGTGAAAAACAGTAAACAATAACACATATTTTGAAGCTCGGATCATACTCAAACTGCCCCACGGTGGGCATCAAAGTATTTATGATGCAGATTGGGATGATCTCCAAATGAGATTCAACTAGATCCGAACCGCAAACTGAATTTTTAAATGAGTGATAGAGAGTAGAACAATTAAATTCTGATTTGAGGCCAGATATACTCAGAAGTGAGTAGATCAGCTCTCAGATCAGTGGCAAAGTTAGCATTGACCCGAAGAGTGAAATACTACGTAAAATGCAATAAACTTAATATAATTCTAATAAAATACACAAAAATGAAAAGAGACATAGGAAAGAGTAAAAATGTACCAGACTAGGCCAGTTGCCCCGAGGCTCTCGAGGATTCGAGGCCTTGCTTGTATCAGGATAGGCTGAGTTTATGTCGTGCGTCTCTTTGTTTCTCTTCATGTTTTGACTAGGCCTTGTCTTGGTTGGATAGATCTCTTAATCTAAGGGCTATAGGTAGCCTAAAGCTAAGTTTTTCTAAGGGTCTAGGTTTTTCTCAAGTCTCACCATCTCAAAGTTTTCTTTGGGCACACCAGCTAATAAGGTCTAAAGAGTATAACATAAAATGATCTCGAAATGACCTTTTTATAAGCTGAAGATCATCTGGAATGGGTAACAAACCATAACCACAAGGTTTCTCGGCCTGGACTTCTGTTTTGGCGGTCCAAGGCTCGGGCGACACTGGTAATATCAGTGTCGCTTAGACCAAAGTGGTCCAAGTTAAATGAACCTGGCCAAAAATGATTTGGGATAGGTTGGCATGCAAAAACTGCCAATTTGGGGCAGTCGGAGCTGGGCGACACCAGTGGTGTCTCCTAGACCAAATTTGCTCAAAATTGGCTGATTCTAATCTGGGAGGATTTTTGGGCAGTTTAGATGTTGCTTGCAAAAAATCAGCAGATTTGGGTCAGTCTATTTGGGTCAATCTATTTGGATTAGTCTATTTGGGTCAGGCCGACAGGCTTTATTTACTTCCCTCTTTAACTGCTAATCAAATTTGCTTCCGTCGGGTGATCCACATATCACGTATTTCTCGTTTTATACTCCTAGGGATCTTATTTATGTTTTATACTAAGGTATGGTTCAAGCATGAAAGATCGATGGAGTCTACCCTTCCTTTTCCAGATCCAAGTAATTTACAATAGAACTCCTTGGATTATCTGCTAACCACTCAATCAATTACTTCTTCGGAATAAAAAAGGAATGACAGGCTGCCTGCTAAAAATAGCCGACCGGACGACACTAGTGGTGTCACCCAAACCAAATTTGCCCAAAATTGGTAGATTCTAGTTCTGAGGGGATCTACGGGCTCATGTGATGTTTTTCAAAATTTGGGTCAAAATGAAATGTTTTGCTATTTTAAATGATTTTTTCACTAAAACAAGGTGTTCTGGAGGATTATGAATCATATGGCAGACAATATGGACTATGGTGGTCTATGGTCTGGGGGTTTACTGAGATAGTGTGGTTCTAAGACTGTCTATGGTTTATAACACCATTGAATTTTCCAGTTTTCAAGATGAGATGTCTACACTTTGTTAGTCAAATATTGTTGGAATATGCCAAATATATATTTTTTAATGCGTTTATGTAGTCTTGTGTTGAATTAATCTTATACCATGCAATATTGCTTTCAATTCATGTTAGTATCTTATGCAATTGACTATTAGGCATGGATGACAAAGTTATGGAGGTTGAAAGTGTAACCTCAAAGAGGAAAAAAATACAACAGACTCGTGCAATGGAACTAGCATTGCTAGATGTGCTAAATGAACAAGTACATGCATGCAGTAAGCCAAAGAAGGACTTCAAACCATCACAACGGAATGTTGTAGAGAAATGCTTCACCAACGCAACAGGCATGGCTTTGAAGAGAGAGAACTTCAAAAACAACCTCAAAAGTGGGTTACAAATTACAAAATAGTTAATACCCTCATAAACCACATTGGATTTTGCTGGGACTCAGTGAGACAAACAATGACTGGTATTGAGGATCTTTGGGAATAGTACATTGCGGTTAGTTTATTCATTGCTCTTCTTTGAGGGTATTTACCAATTGTATTGTGAATTTTGATATTAATCATTAATAATTGCCACATTGTATAGGCACATCCCAATGCCAAGCATATCAAGAGGAAACCATTCCCTATTATGAGGAGTTGGGCATAACCATAAACAATTCAACGGCCGAGGAATAGGTGCAAGGACAGCAGCAATAGCCCAGCAAGATGCAATGCAGGAAGATGAAGACACCTAGTATTGATGTCGAAGAGGGGGACATTTCTGAGATGCCTACACATTCAAGGGCTAGTGAGAAGGGTAAATCCCCTGCTTCAACTGCAAGTCGGCCAACAACAAGGAAGAAGAGGGCAGTGGCTAACACCTTACAGTTGATGGTTGAAGCAGTGGTGGGCCTAGGGTTTGCATTTGTGCAATTCAAAAATGCTCCTAATGAATCGATGACGTTTGGGTGTTGAAGATGATGTGGCTTCAAAGGCATGCATGAGGATCAACTCAGATGTGAATATGAGTAAGATCTTCATCAAGATGAATGATGTGAGAAAGTTGGCCTAGATCTAGTCCAAGTATGGAAGTGGACCAGATGATTGTAACTGATGCCTATTGCCCTCTCAGAGACTCTCTAATTTTTTTTCTTTTGAAAACTTTACATATGTATTTTGATTTATCCCTCTCTCAATCTCTCTGTCTTTTTTTTGCTCTCTCCCCTCTCTCTTGGGTACCATCCAAAAAAGGTTGTGGTTGCTCTCTCAACTTCTGCATCTCCAAATCAGTTTGCCTGTTATGTGCCATTTGCTACTCTTTATTGTTTCTTTCTTTCTTCTTCTTGACTTAGCATATGAGCCAAGTATAGATGGGTCTATAAAGTGAACTTCAAGTTAAAAGGATTCTTGAGCAGTATAAAACTAGTAGCGATTTTAGGTATGCATAGGATTGCAGGTTTGATTTGAAAAGAAGCTCATGAAGCCCTTTGCTTTTCACTGGAAAAGAAGTTCAAATATATTTGCTAGTCTCTAACTAATATCAGTCATCTTTTCTGCATATATCAGTCACCTTTTTGGCATTCTTCAATTGTAGTAACTAATATCCTTTTCTTGAAGGACGTGGTTAGCATGCGGCCAGCCCGCATATTGTAGAAATGTGGGCTTGACAATAAACATATTTTTGAATATATTTTTTTCCTAATTGCATTTCTTGGTGGGAGAAGATTTTGCATTTGTAAATGTTCAGAAAATTTTGTGTATTTTGTTGATTGCAGTGATCAAATATATAACATATATCCAATGAAGGATTGGATAGCTAGAGTGATATAGATAGATAGACAAATTTGTATTTCAAAGACTGATCGAAATTCCATTGTATAGGTTTGGACATCAATATGGGACCAAGCACAAACAGTTTATGCAAATGGCAATGTAACTCCTGTAAATTGGATAGTTTTACATGACAATTGTATTTTGATTGCTATTTTTTTCTAGCTGAAACTGATTAAAAATGCCTGATTCCTGGTACACATAAAACAAGATATATGCTCAAGGAAAGAGTTGCAACAGATTTTAACTCTGATTAGTGGTAAGGTGCCTACTTAAACGTTTATGGGTCTTCCTATACATATTTATATCAGGTATCTTGGTTTACTTATATATGTTGTATTGCCAACACTTATCCTAAGGTTTCCTCTTTCTTGTTACAATGCTAAAACCATTTCGGCAGTAACATTTACATTGAGATAGAGGTTGGCATCATATATGGCATCAGAAGACATTTTGCTTCGGTCTTCAATGAGAATTCTATGTGACTTGTAGTGATATATATCATTCTTGAATTATTCCAAATTATCCATATGATTTTGCATCAGATTTGATACCTAATTATGATTAGTTACAAAACATTTCATGCTCATGTGGGGCATTTAAACCCAAATGCATGACCTTACCACTTCTACGTAGTCTTACTGTCAACGAAACTTACATGTTCCTGCATTGTGTCGAAATTATACATGCATGTGTATCTATTCAGACAAATAAATTGTGGTAGGCGTGCATGTATATGCTGGCAAATATGCATTTGTTTAAAGGAAACATTATTTATAAGGTGAATGGGGGTACAACAGAATGCATTGAATTCTTCTTATCATTTGTTGTGGTTTTATTGATAGATGATCTATAATATATCATTGTTGATACCCATAAATAGAATCTGGGTTCTAAGGCCTGGTCTTTCACTATCCCACATAGAGTGCAAGAATTTGCTTGAGTGCTGCAATGGGAAAGAGCTCCAACACCATACAATGCTTTGACCATTTGAGTATGGAGAGTGAACAGCCACAAAAGCACTATTGTATCACCAAAATAGGCTTCATAAATATAAGAACAGCACTCTACATGAACTTTCAAAACCAAATGACTTGCACTAAGAGAGATTATTTATTATAAAATGGCTGATAATTCATATGTAAAAGCCAAAGCAATTCACAAACTAAATACTAGAAAGAAAACAATAGAGGCAAAGTGGATCCAATTCCATTAACTTAATTACATTTAACAATTTATCAGCTTCAATAACTTTCAAAAGCTCCATAAACTTAATTACATTCTACAATTTGCCAGCTTAAATAACTATCAAAAGCAATGGAGCTTTTTCCCAAAACAATTGATGAATTCATCACTCAATACAATAATTTTCCCTGTTGAAAACCACTAAACTGTGCTAACAAAATGCTGCATGCAAAACCACTTAAATGTTACCCAAAGAATGCTCTCTAGTCTTCCAAACCACTGAATTGTGGACCCCAATATCCTCTTTCTATGGCTTCCCAAACTCCTGAATTATGCCTCGGAGATCATGAAAAGTCTAGATCTCACATAACCAGCATAAGCAGGCACCACCTCCAACATACTTATAGCAAATTTCAAATCTTCATCTTCAATAGGCATCACCCCATTAAGATCCATAATCCCCATTCTATCTTCATCCCTTCTCTGTTCTCCCCCATTCTTTCTCTCTCCTCCCAATTCAACTTGAGAACCCATTGTCAACCACTTTGAAGAATGATGAGCTTTCAACTTGGCTATATGCTTCTTTCTAACAAAATGTTTCTTCATATGGCCACCTAAAGCCTGACCTGAATTGAACCATTGGTTACACTTAGTGCATATATGGCTCCCTTGCCTTTCCAGCGAGAAATTGGCTAGAATTCTGCTGATTTTTGGTCTTTTATTAACAGATAGTTTCAAGAAGCCCACCGAAATCACACACCCAATTCCAGAAACTTGAACATCCTCTTGTGATACTTCCTCCTCCTCTGATTTATTAGCTGCAGAGACTCCAATGAGAAGCTTCCTCTTCTTTGAATCATGGCACTTTGAAATGATTTCACCTTCTTGGGGTTTGCCAGAATTAGCAGCTGTCACAATAGCTCTCGCCTCCCTCTTCACTTCCGTCTTCTTCTTCCATTGGCCACGACGGTAAACTAAGAAGCATTCATGGAGGATTTCACTCTTTTTGGGATCCGATTCCAGGCCATCCTTGTCAATTTCTTGCTTTTTCAAGAAACCCAATTCCTCCAAATTTCTTTTGAGATTGACAAAGAATGGGTAAGCAATGCACAGTTTGTTTCATGCTTTTTGAAACTCCCTCAAATCTTTGTCTCTGCAAATCTTTACTTTCGGACCTTGGCAGTTTTGTTCCTTCTTGTTCTAAATCCAGTGACCGACCAATTTGAGAGGGGAGAGAGAGGATAATGTTCTTTCGAGCTCTCTTCTGTTATGGTGCTATTGGTATGGTATGACAAACTTTCTACGGAATTGATCTGTGCACCATTGCTGGAATTTTGACCTGCAGGTTCCTCTCATTCTTTCTGGCAAGTGCAGGCTTCTCAGGTGGTTGAATCCCTCTCCACTTGTTGGTTATGCTTTGTTGTTTCCTCTGTTGTGCTGCAACCATCTTTTCTCCTCTCTCGCTCATCTTTCAAACCTATGTTACCACTATCAGTGAAACCTGCAAAAACCCAAAACCATGAAACTTTGATTTGAGAAAAACCCATATCACAATACTTTGATTACAAAAGGACCGATATCAAAAAAAATTGATTCAGAAAGACACAAACAAGGAAATTATTAGAAAAAATCTTGATTAAAAAAGTACGGAAAAGAATCTTGATTCAGAAAGACGCAGCAGATAAGGAAAACATTAGGAAAGAACCCACATAATAAAATCTTGATTAAAAAAGTACCCAAAATATTCTTGAAAGAAGTAAGCCATATCTGGCTCAAGAACCTGCAAAAACTTACCATAATTGGATGCATGGGCTTTAACGTGAGCTCTGAGAGATCGCTCTGAGCCAAACTTCAAGTTGCAGACTTCACAACTATAATGGCCTAAACCTCCAGCGACCTGATCAAATTGAGAAGTCACCGATTCAGGGGAACCGATTTCACATTGAGAGTTTGTTTTCTTAGGCATCTTGAGCCTGATCATTAACCTTGGGGTCGATTGGTTTCCATCATGGAAACTGGTTTGGCCTCAGAGCCAAAGGAATTTGAAGAAAATGGCGCGTTCTATGGAATCAGAGAAGGGAAAATAAGAGAGAGAAACAAGGAGGCATGCAAAAGAGCAAGGAGGTGGAGAAGGGAAAGGGCGACAGAGAAACAAGACTTAGAGAGAGAAACAAGACTTGGAATTCAAGAGAGAGAATGAAAGAGAGCTGCTAGGCTCGCTCTTTGAACTGTCGGGATCGATTGCAAGATTTAGAGAGAGAAGCAAAAGATTTACGGTTAGAGAGAGAAAGAGAGGGAAAGAGCTGTTATGCTTCACCTCAACTGTCAGGATCGACGGCCACGATCCAATTTCCCGTCTCACTTAAATTTTGAATTTCCTTAGAAATATTCTCTCACCTTAAATCTCGCTTGTTCCTGATAATTTTTACTTTTATATTAGAGCACGCACACTATGCTCTTTTGGGAGCATACTTTACTTCTATACCTTCAGTTAGATGATCTATTTGGGAGGATTTTTTCAATCTAAAATTTGGGTAATCACATTAAAATCACTAGATAATTAATCTCAATTTATTTAAAAAAATTTGAGTTTTCTAACACTTAAATGTCACTCTCTAAAAATTTTGACGGTTTCCATTCAATTTTAAGACATTTTTTTTCAAGTGCTTAGAGAGTGCAATTAGGAAATAATTTCTTATTGATTGTTAAAGAGGTAATATCCCCCAAACTTTAGGGTTCTAAGACTAATCCTTGTGTTCCGTATCAGGGAGTAAATGCATAGTATGCTCTAGTGGGGTTCTATATCAAAGAGTAAATGCATAGTATGCTCCCGAGAGAGTGGAATATCTTTTGGCTTTATATTATGGGTGAGGTTTGCATAAGGTTGCCTCTAAAATTTACTTTGAGATGTTGTTTTGATGCCGGGAAACTTTATACAAGCTTAAAAATCTATTTTTATCCATAATTATAAATTCAAAATTCCAAAAAGGGTACAAATCAATCATATCAATAAACACTTGAAATTTTTGAAAATAGACGGTCCAGATAACTTGTTTTAAAATGTATTATTTTTTGGATTTGGAATTCTTTTTGTCTTTTTTTTATTTTCATGCATATTGGGTCGAGATGATCGATTGGAGAGAGTTATCAAACATCGAAACACTATAGGTCCAGATAAATTGTTATAAGATGTACTATTTTATGGATTTGGAATTCTTTTTTTCTTTATTTCTATACATCTTGAGGTCGAGATGATCAATTGGAGTGTTCTCAAACATCGGAAAACTATCAATTGGAGGTTAACTCCTTATACTATAGAAATAAGGTGCACATCTAAAATTTACTTTGAGATATCGTTTTGGTGTTGGAAACCTTATCATGGCTATTTTTTCCCATAGTTATAAACGGAGTGAAGAAAACATTTGAGCTATTATCCCACTCATCCTCAAAAGAATCTTCCACATATACTGCAAAAGCCACCTCAAGCATCTAATAATAATTCAAGTCAAGCCAATTGATGACAGAGCAAAGAGAGTGCATTCATTACCTAACCTGCTAAGAATGTATCTGACCTGGAATAAGGAGCAACCCATATTTCCAGGATGTCAACTTTTAAAGAGCCTCTTGGTGAATCAACAAGACAAAAAATTAGAGTAATAACTCAAACCGGCTTTGAATGAGTTAATATTGATGAACGCCAACTACTGCCAGATCAGACAAGGAAATGAATCTGGATAAAGATAACTTATGTATATGATATTTGAACTCAGGTGGTTTGTTAATTATCAATTCCAAATGAGGCGTGCCTTCTTGAACGTTAAAGACCTTGAATACTACCAAATTGATGTAGAATACTCTATTAGGCTTCATCATCAACATCCAAGCCTTATCCCAACAATCTGGGGTAGGCTATATGAATCTTGTTCCGCCATTCTGCTCTATCAAGGGCCATACTCTCAGTAAGACTATAAGACACCATATCATTTCTCACTACTTCTATCCATGTCCTTTTAAGCTTCCCTTAACGCTTTTAGAGTCTACACTTGAACCAAAGAATACTCGCTTAAGCTTGTAAACCATAACTATTTTTGACCACATTTGAAGGAAAACTAAGGGAGAGAATAAAACTAAGGGAACAAACGATTCAGGAGAAAAGAAAGAGAATAAAAAACAACCTCACTTTTAAGGTTCGTCATTATCATCGTCAAAGCCTTTTCCCAACTAATTGGGGTCTGCTACACGAATCCTGATCCGCCATTAGCTCTATTAAGGGTCATACCCTCAATGAAGCCATAAGTCCCCATATCTCAGCACATTGCTTCTGAAAAACACCCTACCATAAGCAGATTTTAAGATTCATGATAAGTTTTGGCAAAGTTTTATGTTGGCTGCCTACCCAACATAACCCAAGCCTTTTACCCAGATATGTGATGAGTTAAGGGAAAGTTTAAGGCCCTCACCCTTCTTAATAAGCCATAAGTCTTTCTACAGCAAAAAAATGGTGATGCTTTGCATCAGGTTGCTTACGATTAGCGATTTGTGATTATACATAAGCACCTGAAAGTAATAAAGAAAACTACCCATCTCATCTGAGCAAAAGTGATACGAAGAAAACTTATATCACTCTTATTATCAACTAATTTAGGGAGCTTACGCTCATATTGAAAGATGGGAAGATGCTGTTGTAAGTTGGAGGATCAATTTTAACATACTCATAATATTGGTAGTTTGAGTCGAAAACTCAAAAATCAATGCATAAATTGGAGGATCAAGTTTAACATACTCATAATATTGGTAGTTTGAGTCGACAACTCATAAATCCATGCATGTATACAATGAAAAACTATGACATCATCCCCTTCTTCTAAAGAAACATATTCCAAAATACAATATTTTAAGAAAAACTCAAAAAAAATGTTGGTAAACTCAAAACTAGTACCCTTTTGGCCTCTAGAGAAATTTTCTCTAGAATTGAAGAATTAAATGGAACCCATCCACTAAAGACTGTACCGCCACCTACAGTTTTTGGATACAGCAACACACTTGCCAAGGTCAACGCGCCTGAAAATTAATAGCCGGAAAGTTATGATTGATAGGTATATCATTTTCAAGGCTCACTAATAACCATATAAATTGATATATGAGCATACCTCCTTAACTAAATCCACAAACAAATATGTTCTCTGGGCTAATACCAGCAGAAACCTCCTTATCTATCATTGCGTGCACATTTCTGACGGCTCTAACAACCCCTTCTTCATCTTTAGGGGACTCCTGAAACAATATTAATGAAAAGAAGATCAATAAAACTCAGTTAATTCAAAACTCTCTTAACATGGAAACTAAAATTTATAAATGCTTTTTAACAAAGAATAAATATTTGAAGAACGTCTGAAAAAGAAGAGAGAGAGAGAGAGAGAGAGACTACTTACAGCAGTCACCGGTATCTCATAGATGTCAAACCAAGAGGGCATTGCAGCACCATCTATAAAAGCAAAGCTAACAATTATGCTCATTAAAGTTTGAATTTAAAGAAGTAAAAAAAAAAAAGAATACAGGAAAAATGTATTTTAGCTTGCTCCAATAAACGTATGTGCCAAATGGATGGAAAAAACAACAGCAAGAGAGCACAATTAATATGAAAGACCGCTTACAACCAAGTTTTACTTCCAAATGTGGAATCAGCTAAAACGTGAATGAGATTTTACAAGCATGAGCAAAAAAGAAAAGCTCATGATTAAATATACATGCTATTTAGAAGTTAATATTATTTGTTGGGACAAAAAATAAAGTATGGTAAAACATGCATGCCTATAAATTCACAGAACAATGCAGATCATGCAAATACATCCCATAATAATAATAAAGGACATGCCAGGGGGGAACCTTGAAAATGACCACATTGCCTACATCCATGAAATTGTTCACGAGGACCAAGTAACCCGTACCTAACCAGGATCTAGTTCCCATAAAACAATCAAATTAGGCTTCAAGTACTGATTAGGGAGATAGCCCCCATTTCCCTGATGCTAATACTGCAACTTTGTTCTCACTATTGCCTTCTATTCCCTGTGCACATACCATAAACATCTAACACAAACCCTAAAGCACCAAATGGATAATGTTCATTGATGTGATCCTCCCTCACAAGGCTACATTATCCCCTCCAAATCCCCCAAAAGATTTATATTGATCAACACCTGAAGAGAATCCAACCTTCGAAAGGAATCCGCAAGCCAAGAAGAGATGAGGACAATCAGAGATTCATGGTGCAACACACAAGATTCTGAAAAAGATTGAAAGAACAACATAATCCCCTTTGCACATTTACAGTGTCCTTTGCCTCTACACATATCACAGAGTCCTCACTCTGATTATTATTGTGCAAAAGGGTCACATCTCATATTGCCAAACCATCCACATTCTGCAACACATAAGCAGCACACATCCTCCAAACAAGACTCCTGTCAATCTATCCCTTTCCTGTTGATGCTAGAAATGCAAAAATAAAATATAGAATCCCATTCTCAGAAATACAAAAATAAACTATAGAGACCCATTCTCCCTAAACCTATCCATTAAAATTTCAAATCATTCTGAAACCTAAGCTATCTTTCTTTTTTGATATGTATCTGAAACCTAAGCTATCATGTACACTACTGTCCCAAACAACCGCAAAAATCTAAGACCAAGACAATCATCCCCACACCCATAGTTACGAAAACCTCTACCTTGTTACAATCACTGACCTTGTCCCCCTCCTAAAATCTAACTCTATTCCTCTAATATAGCCCCACTCGCTTAGCCTTATATTAGTAAGGGTCACATCTCATAGTGCCAAAACCACAAGAATTCTGCTACACATAGGAAGCACACATCCTCCAAAATGGCAATCTATTCCTATCCTATCCCTGCTAGAAGTGCAAAATAAACTCTAGAACCACATCATCCATGAATAATATCTAAACAAAGAGCATAAATAGAATCTAAACAGAAACCCCTATCTATTAACATTTCAAATTATCCCCAAACCAACAGTTGCATGCAAAACCTTTACCTTTTTACAAACCCCAAGCTTGTAACCCCCTAAAATCTTGTTGTACTCCACCAGTATAGCCCACAGTTGGTTACCCCCATAATCTCATATCCCTTCCTCAGGCTTTCTC